CTCCTGGAACGGAAGATGCCTATTTGTCCTCTGCAGAGCTCAAAAAATGATTCAGAAATATTACACCCCAATGGAATTTCCCTTCCTGGACAGTGAAAGAAAAATAAAACAACAGCAAAAACCAAACAATTCCTTTACGACCAGATAGAAGAGTATGACCATGTAACTATGGCAAAACCAAGCATTTGAGGCCTGGGGAAGAGGAATTGCAAGGATTATTGAAATAAAGAAAGGCCTGCAGCAACTACTTTGCCAGACTGGTTAGACTAGACAAGGCCTCATGTAATTTACATCAGTTCTTTGGTCTGAGATTGCCTTCATTCTCCCTAAAACCCTGTATCACCTGAGAAGGCATCATGTTCCCCCTGACTCATGGAGAGTTATGTTTTATGTTGTAATTTGCTAGAACAGCGATTATGCACAAGTGGGAGAATTTCACAAGCAAAATGTCTTGTCAGTGAAAATAGCAGCTTTACTCCTACATTCACTTAGCAGCAGGAGGCACAAAGTATCCTGGGGTTTTTGAATTATTGTTGAAATGAACTCCAGATGCCTGCAGAAAGACTTCTAAATACATACCTAATTGCCAGTTTCTTTTGTCTTAGCCACACTGCTAAACAGCCTTCAAAAACAGCATTTGACACATTCTGAATTCTTTATTAGCACCTTTATGCAAAATTAAATGGCACTTGTGCAAAGCCAGAGCACAACAGCATGCCAGTGCTTATAAGCAATGTTTCTGGAAGCCTATCTTGGGTATTTGTCTTCCTATGTGTGGGAAGTTTTCTTATAAATTACAGTCTTCCTTTTACATTACATGCACACCAATTTTATATCTCTCAGTTTTTATGACAGAAAAATTTTAATTTTAAGGAATATTAATCAGGCACCAAATTTTCCTATTTTGAATATTCAGCAAAGGAGAGCAAAACTATGCTTCCTGGCCTGCTGCCACTCCAATGACTCATCTTTGCTGACATGCAAGCTAATGGGGGTGAAGATTTAGAATTGCTGTTTCATAGAGAAAAAGGAATTGGAGAGACAAGCTTATACGTCCCATACTTCATCCCTCCTAACCCAGACTCCCAGAGGCAATGCCCACAGTACTGAGAACTATGAAACTGCCTCTGGACTATCTGTGTTTATAGGTGTATGTAAAGGTAACAATTAGAAGTACATATATCAAGGCTTTGGTCTGGAAGTAAGTCTTGAAAATCAAAGATCACATATACAACGCAGAACCATTTACATATTCAAATAAATAAATGCATCCTTTTGTTGATTAAGGGAGAGGAGAGGCAGAGGGATCGCCAGTGTAACCACTCCATCTGTGACACAGGAGCACACAGCACACAGTCAGCTGCTGCATTACTGTAATACACAATCCCTCTGCCTTCACTGCCTTCAAACGTCTATGCTAATTTTTTCCATCCCAGCAGCAAACCTCACCCGTGGCTGTGGCTTGCTGCCCTCATTAACCCAATATTCAGTACCAAGGAAGCCAACATCAATACAGAAGATACTGTGCAGCACTCTTTCCTTTCCCTTTTCCCCAGATCTACTTGCTTGGATTTTTACCCTGCTTTCAGTACACTGGGCCAGTGTTACTCTGTAGAGCAGGATTCAGACATGACTCAATCTAAAAGTGACATGGAAGTGCTGCTGTCACCTAATGTATACAGGTACAGGTGGGCACATCCAGAACACCAGCACAAAGCCACAGCTGTAAAGCAGGGCTCACGATTTGGCACTTGCTAGATAACTTATCACTGTGACATTAATCACTTTCTGGGACTTTGCCAGTCAGATGGCATGAGATGTGTATTAGGGACACTTGCACATGTCCATGATGTCTGATTCCCATTAGCCATCTCAGTCTTTAATTCATAAATTGCCTAGTCCTAGGCAAGGACTTCCTGCACAGTGTCACACTTGGCTGCAACAATTCATAGAAATGACTTGAGACAGCATGAACCTCCAATTTCTGAGTTTCAGTTCCATTTATAAACACAGTGTTATTTTAAACATTTCAGGTGGAAAGTGTGGACTTTCCAAAACTTGAATACCATAGTAAAGATGTAAAGGATGGAAATATCTGGACCTTGCTGATTTTCGGGTGTCTGAAGAGAAAAAGCACACTGGGCAGCTGCTTCTCTTTTGCTATTTGAAATAATACAGAGTAAGATTTAAATGCTGGAGTCATAGCTAAACACATAAGGCAAGTCACAGAATCACAGAATGGCTGAGGTTGGAAAGGATCTTTGGATGTCAACCTGTCCACTCCCCCTGCTCAACCTGGGTCATCTGTAATAGGCAGCCCAGGACCAAGGCTTTTGAGTATCCAAGAATGGAGACTAAACAACCTTTCTGGTCAGCCTGTGCCTGCCCTCAGTCACCCACACAGTGAAAAAATGTTTGCCAATATTCACACAGAACCTCCCGTGTTTCAGTTCATGCTCACTGCCTCTGATCCCGGCCCTGAGCACCACTGAAACTAGCCTGTCTCAGCCTTCTTTGCACTCTCCCTTCATGTATCTATTACATACACAGATAATATCTATCCTAAGCTTTCTCTTCTCTCACTGAACAGTCCTACCTGTCTCAGTCTTTCCTCAAGTGACAGGTGTTCCAGTTCCTTAATCAATCTTAGTGACCCCTTTGCTGGACTCCCTACAGTAGCTTTGTAACCCTCTGGTTCTGGGGAGCCCAGAACTGGACATGATACTCCAGGTGTGGCCTTGCCAGGGCTGAGTAGAGGGGAAGGTTCACCTTTCTCAGCCAGCTGGCAACACCTCTCCTATTGCAGCTCAGGATACCATTAGCTTTGTTTGGCACAAGGACACATCGGTTGCTCATGTTCAAGCTGGTGTCCACTCGTATCCCCAGTTCCTTTTGTGCAAAGCTGCTTTCCAGCTGGTAAGACCCCAGCATATACTGGTGCAGGACTTTACACTTCCCTTTACTGAACGCCATGAAGTTTGTGTCAGCCCATTTCTCCAGCCTGTTGAGGTTCCTCCTCAGGATGACAGCACAACCTTCTGGTGTACCAGCTGCTCCTCACAGGCTGTAACATGAGCAAACTTGCTGAGGGTGCACTCTGCTACATCATCCGCTTCATTAATGAAGATGTTGAATGGGACTGGACTCAGTATTGACCCCTGGGATACACTGCTAGTTACTGGCCCCCACCTAGACTTCATACCACTGCTCACCACCCTCTGGGTCTGGCTGCTCAGCCAATTTTCAATCCACCTCACTGTTGCTCATCTAGCCCACATGTTACCAGTTTCTCTCTCAGGATTCTCCAGGAGGCAGTGTCAAAAGCCTTACTGAAGTCAATGTAGATTATATACACTACTCTCTCCTCATTCACCAAGCCAGTAGTTTCATCATAGAAAGCTGGGCAGGTACGACTTCCCCTTTGCCTATCCCTTTGTGAACCCATCCAGTCATCATCTGGCTGCCCTTCCCTGAAGCAGAGTCATGTATTCCAGTCCCCAGTGGCAGAACTGTGCTGGTAGAATTGGGTTGTCCCTCCATTTCTCAATAAAAAACAGAATGCAACAGGCAGATGAAATCCTATGAGCAGGAGTGCCACCATTTTTCCTATGTGAGATGATCTAAGTATAAAAATACCTTACTTCCTTTACAAAAATTCAGTGAATGGTGAAGTTAGCTTTAAGGAAAGACTGAGGAAAGGGATGCAAAGATGTTTAAAAACTAAATAATGGCTCACAGGAAAAAATAACAAGCCTTTTTAAACATGCAGTTTGTTTGTCTATCCATTTTGTCCTTTTGTCATGGTCCTTCACCAGCTTACAGTGCAGAAGGGACCAGGCATTTCCACGTTATCTTTGGAGTCATTAAATGCTAAATGAGACTTCTACATTGTATTGTTAAGCAGAGCTGATGACACAGCTCCATAAGGGCACCTTGGTCTCATCCTGTTTGCATTAACAAAACCTCAGAGATATCACTATAGAGGATTTGAAAGGAAACTGTGCAGAGAGGTTGATACTGGCATCTGTAAATCCTGTGTGCTTAAATAAGGAGCTTGGTGGTAATCTCTCTAAATAAAACTCTGCAAAGGGTAGCATTGGCATTCTTGGTGCGTCCCTAAACCAAAACTGTCACTGCCTTCTGATGCTCTCACAGGGATACAGATATTTGGGTTAGTTCTGTTCATATGAAACAAAGGATGCATCCAGAACACAAAAGAGCAAGGCCAATGCCTTCTCCCAGCTGTCCTCATATACAGGGCACAGGTTACAGAGAAATTTGAATAGGTTTCTACAGTGAAGTACACCAGTATATTTCCTAGCTCGCCAACTGCCTTCTGGATGTTGAAGAGCCTAGATAAACGATCAAACAACTATGTCCTGTTTGTGTCGCAGAAGAGAGAGTATGTGCACATGCGAGCAGCTGCCTTTGTCTGGTAAGAGATGAGAAGACAGTAACACCTAACTATCTTATAGGTGTATTACAGAGCTTCTCCAGGACCCCTAATTTAAAGGGGGCATTGAAAAGGAGAAGCTTGCAGCAATACAATCTGCATGGCAATAAAATCCTTATACCGATTTCAGTGGGCCAGACTCTTTTTATCTATGTTTTCTTTAAGCTGAACACATTTATAAAGTGTGCGCTGAAAGCTAATGAGAAGAACCTACCTTCAAGCTTAGCCTCTGATCAGTGCTGTCAGTGACTAATACTTTATTTCTCTTCTAACTTCTTGCCAACACAGGCAATCAACTGCTAACCTGAAGCTATGTGATCTTCAACCCACTTCTACTTTAAAAGCAGCAGAAACCCATGTTTCTTGCCTAGGACAGTAAACACAATGGCACTACAGCACATAGGCTATTTCAGCACCTGGTTACGCCTGAAACTCTCCTTAGTGCTTTGGGACACAGTAATTTCAATGAATCATGTTCAATTACAACACAGGTATCTTCAAGCTTGTTTGATGCTTAGCATTTAAGGAAAACTATATGCTTACTCACCATAAGGGATATATACCAAGCCTACTGACAATGAAGACAATGGCAAATGTAAGGAACAGAAGGTCACTCAGTTTTTGACACTTGCAATAGTTTGCCATTTTGGCAGCCTGCAAAAGAAAGAAATGTTTGTTTACTTCCATGAGGACAACCATGTTCTCCTATATTGTGCATAAGCTGTAAGAAAAAGATATAAATTTTTAATGAAATCACTAACATTTTCATTGAGCCACCTCACAGATAACCTTGTAACTCTTCTCCACGAAGCTGCTGGAAAATGCCTTCTTGGAAAGAAAAAAACAGGCTGCATAAAACCAGAATACATCCCTCATTTCTTCCTTCCCCTTTAATTTCCTTTTTGAAATCCTACAATTTCAGATTCACAAAACTCTTCTAACCTTTTCTTGAACCCCACTGTGTTTATGCCATCCTTGCCCCCAACCTCTTTACCTACCCGTGTCTCACCTTTCCAGTATGCTCCACTTGCATTTTCAGCATTCATTCATCTTCCACCTGCCCTATGCTCTCTGTCATTCTTGTCTTTGCCATATATAAACTTTGTCTCAAATCTCCGACATTCTCCTACAGCATCTCTTTTTCCTTTCCGGCCTACACAGAACAGAGTCCACCTCAAAGATTTTTCCAAGTCTCTCTTCCCCTCTCTTTCTAACTTTTGCTTTCCAACTTGCTCCCTATGCCTATTTTTACATGCCTCTCTCATTTGCCTTCATGCAGTCTTCTGACTCCTCCTCAGCGAAGGAGTCACTAATTACTCTTCACTCAAACTGCTCATTAAAACCCCGGTCTTCCATGAAGTTTCTTTGCTCTCTTCTCCCTGAAGAAAACAGTATGTACAAGCAAAGCTGTTGTAAGACATCTGTGCTGCTTCCACAGCATTCACGTACGTAAGCAGTTACTTATTTTAAAACATCTGCTTCCAGGCAGGGACAGTCTTTCTGCTTTCTGTCAGATGTATCTAAAGAATCACTGCACATGAAGTGAAGTACATGAAAAACCCAATTTAGTGTCCACTTAAGTAATTGGGAACTCTTTCAAAGCCCCACTCCTAGGGGACCTGTATCCATACTGAGAAGATGCTTACTTCTGCAAAATTTCCAGAGGGCTAGAAGGGAGAAAAATTACCACAACTATGCAGACAAAACACTATTCTGAATGCAGAATTCAAACCAGAAGATTGCCTAAAATGGTGACAGGCACTATCGCGCTCTGATTTTTTTTTTTTTTTTTGTATGAACACACTGAATCTGAAAGGGCTCAATGCTCATGTTAGCCAACCTGGATGACAAAACTAGCCTGCACTGCTGGATGTTACCCAATTTCTGCAATATTTCCACTGAAAACCTGAATTTAAAGGATATTCCTCACTAGCAGAAAACAGGTTAAGAAGGGGGAAGCTCACAAAACATGAGGAAAGCCACCACTAGTACGAAGAAAACATAACCGTTCAAAATCAGCCCTATATCCCTGTAAACACAAATGAATTTAAGGGAAAAATAACACTTTGGTGCCAACATGCAAAGCAGAAGAGTCACTAAAACTTTGATTTTCATGTGACTGAAAGTTCACATATGAATTCTGGATGTATTTCCCTGGCAGCAGTCACAGTAATGTCAGCAGTGTATAGGAGTACATCTTTCCCCATATGGCACCAGGGCTACGACCTGCTGCCCTAGCAGAAGAAAGCCCATTGAGTCATAATGGCCCTCCTAGTAAATGTTTGTCAGGGCTTGTGATTCTCTATTTTACACTTTAGAGTAGCGTTAGTATTTCCAGTCAGAACAGACTGAACAAATAAAGACCACTGAAGTATGTGCCTCATGGAGAAGCATATTTGCTGAATTTTTGTAAATCATGTGAGAATACCAGCAATTTCTCCTTGTCTTAGCCAGTGACTGAACAGAGGAATTGAGCAAAAGTACGTGTCTCGCTGTGTTCAAGGTCAGGTTTTAGCTAGCCTATTACAGCTGCTCTCCAGTGCTTTTACAGTTCCACAGATAATGGTCTGATCTGGAATGAACTCTTTTGAGTATGTCATTCTGCTGGTAAGAAAAGAATCACGAAAGTTTGGGTAAACCCACAGCTAGCACAACGGATTTACACACATTGCTAAAACAGAAAAATAAACCTGTAAAGATGTAATTATTTCCTAGAGGAGAAATCCAGATTCTCTGTTGCTTTCTGAGGCAGTCATGTGCCTTCTAGATTAAAAAAAGATTAAAAAATAAAACCAGATTTACAGCCCTATCAAATCAGAATGTCAGGATTTTGATTCTGCAATACGTGACTCACACAGTGAGGCTATATTCTTGCATAACAGCATCTTTGCAACTACTTTAATAAAAGGTCATTTTAGATGAAGTTATTAACTTTGCTTTGATCACAGACAGCCCAATCTCATCATTATCCAGAGCTGTCTAAAACTGATGCAGGTACAGGATGACACCACATCTAAATTGATGCTATGGAAGTTACAGACCATCTTGACTTAAAATAATTCCAATCATCCCTTCTTCTCCAAAGCCAGATGCTTAATACTGCTATCTGGATGCAGAGGCATGGGGACCTGGAAAATCCTGGGGACCAGAGGTCAGCTCACTGCCCATATACAAACAGCCATCAAATTGTCCAGCACCCTCTGCCCAGCAAAGCACAGCAGAAACAAACTGTAACAACCTGATTCTCTTGGAGATGGTGTTATTGCCCCAGACACCATGTCACAGGGGTCAAGAACCAGAAGCTTCTATCCCACAGTCACCACCTTCCAGATTTTGCAACTTTTGACTTTACCATGTTATATTTCATATCTGTGTAACTCTCCCTGGAAATACACTATATAAATCACCATTACCATCTTGATCTGGACTTTTCTTAGGAAATACTCATTTTGCATTACAAATAGATTCTACCTAATAACACGCTAGCTTGCTGAATGGTGAATGCCATGTACAGACGCTGATAACATAATTTTCTCACCTCTAGGACAACATCAGCCGCATCGTGGAGACATAAGGTCAAAGTTCCCACTCGTGTCAAATTGGTTACGTATGAGAAGGTTATCAGGGTGACTGTTACAATGTGATGTGTAAACATGATGCCAAAGTCCTGGAGGGGGGGGGAGGGGGGAGGGGAAAAAAAAAACACCAATGAAGCAAACAGCGAGATTCAGTACTCTCACAGAAAAATGTATGGATGCTTTTTAAACCCAGCATTATGGTTATGTTACATAAAGATCTTGTTACATAAGTGCATTAAATACCCAACTACACATTTCATTCGCAGTGAATAAAATAATCATTGTATGTTAATAAAATGCAAAGACATTACTGAAACTTAGGCAATATTTACACTTCTCAGTTCACAGTAATTTAACCTAATAAAGTAAACATTTGTGGCTGAAATTACTTTGCAAATGCAAATATATATATACAGATCAAATTACACCATATTTTTTATACATCAAGCGACATACAATATGAAAAATAATGTGGCATTCACAAGAGTTCTAATAGCAATAAAGAAATGGGAAACACATTTCCACATCACTAGGAGTTATCAGCAGTCACTTGCCAAGCACAACTGAGAGCTTTCACAGAGCCAAAAATGCCAGCACCAGTTTTTTGTTTTTAATGAAGCTGCTTTGTCTTCTTCACACTGTAACAGGGTCAGAAAAGTCTTCAAATAAGCTGGCGTACTTCCTCCTACTCAGATCTAACCTGCTGCTGCCTCCCAAATGATACAGGTTAGCTGGTCTTTAGATCAGTAACTCTGAGCTATTTGGCCTATTGAAAAATATAGGGAGCAACAAAGCTCTTGTAATATCACATTCCCAGATGCATGTCAAGAGGCAGGCAAAACAGAAGGAACAGAATGCCTCCCTGGCCTAGATTACCAGACCGGTTTCTGAGAGAACACAATCCACAGAGATGAGACTCTCCTCTGCAAGGCACCAACTCAGCCAAAAAGCAGTCTTGCTGGAGTTTGCTGAATTACCTGCACAGCTTTGAGGAAGTGCTATCAAAACTCTGAAGACCACAGTCATCATTTGACTCGGGATTTTCTCCATACACAGGGTGCAAAGTTACTACCACAGCTCTCAGCAGAGCTAGTAGCTCTTGTGTAGAGCTGTCCGAAAGGAGAGAGATCCACGCATCCTGCTCCACAAGCATTCTGGAAGGTGGAATTTGGCTTCTTGGTAGCTTTCTTGGGCCAGTCTTGCTGAGCTAAGTGGCCCTCAGAGAAACCAAAACTGAGACTCTGCAGTCTTTAGAGGGGCAGCACCTGGTTTACAGAGGGACTGAAGGTACATGTGTCAGACAGAAGGGTCTTATGGAAAGTGCTGATGAGCTTCCATTAACACAGAGTCAGCTGCAGCTGCTGCCTGCTCTGTCTCTCCAGTACTGGGAGGAGTAACTGCCCAGTGTCACCATACCTCTTTTCGGGAATGCAGCAGGCACACAGCAGGCACATAGCAGGCCACATTCATCCCATTTGGTGATGTGCAGTGCCATTGCCTCTCAGTATCAGTGCTTGGCTTCACTGTAATGTACACCTGGAGTCTGTGGAAAAACCTGCATCTTGAGCAGTCTCACTAAACAAACAGGGACAGGACCTGCTTTCAGCCTTTCAATTTATGTTTAATGCTATCAGGTGCTATAACACAAAGCTGAGGGGGAGGAAAAAAGAAAGCTGAATAAAAAAATAAAAAAGACTAAAAGCAGTGAACCATATCCTATTTTGGTATATGCTCAACGTTTCTCAGCCAGGTTATTTGATCCCCAGCAGTGCGGAGCACAATCAAATACATTCATCAGTCATATCAAGCCACTGCTTTAAATCCATTTTGTGAAAGCAGACTGAATAAAAACAGAATTAAAGGCTGCTTCCCCTTCTAAGAGTCTTAAGGGAAGCAAGGGTGTGGCATCTTAGTCATTTCAGTATCTACAAACCCACACATGGGGACCATTTCACTATACCATAAATCAAAACAGGAAAGCACCTACCTTAATCCCTGGGATCATAAATAAGCTGTTAGCATTGCCATATGGCAATACTGCAGACTAGCTCTTTACCTGCTTCAGCTGCAAATGCTATGACACTGTTCTTCATTTTCCTTCTAATTATGTTAGCACATAGGCAGTCCAAATGGGGGAAGAAGTCAAGTAGAAAATCTCCTCTGTTTTTATAGCTGACACATTCATGTTCTACAAATACGAGATTTCTAGTCCCTCTTGGGAACTCTTGAAGGCACTCTGACAGTATGGATTATTCCTAAGCAGTCCTAATGCTCTTGGGCAGCAGTCTTCTGCACTTCTGCATGAAGTCTACTTACAGAAATGCTGCCCAGGGAACTCATTCTCTAATAACGCTTCTTGAAAGACACAGTTATCTGACTCTGCCGGCTCTGAAAGAGAGACGCTGCAATGACCTACTGAAAACTGCTAGATAAAAGTAGCAGTGATATAAATAAAACTACTTTTGTAATTCTGGTCCTTTATTTCCTGTTTCCTCTTTAAATCAGTAACTAATATTATGCTTTGAAGATGTGACCTGTTAGATTTTAATTACACGTAAGGGTAATGAATACATGGAAACTAATGGTGCAAGTCCCCATAATGTCAAGTGGTACTTGTATTCCCAGATTATTCAAGCACTTTCACCCATACATGGCAGAAGAGCAGCTGTACAGGAATGGGCTTTTTCTTTTTTTAAAATTTATTTTAAACTGTATGTTTGCGCAAGTTACATTTATTTACAGAAGATTTATAGCCTCCAGTTGTAATTGCTGAAGGATGCATGTGCCTATGTCATGAAAATACATGGCTAAGAATAGGAGAAAGAACCTACTCCTGACACTGTCAGTGGGAAGAACACAGATCAGACAATAGAGAAGCCCTGTGGGTCTCAACTTGTAGACAAACCTTCTGGAATCAAGGCTTATGCTGCCCACATTTGCTTAACATGTCACATTCACTGACCAACTGCCAAGTGGCTATGGAGCATTAGTGCCACTGAAGAGCAAAACATCTCCATTAGTTACCCCAGCTTCTGGAAATGGGCTATGTTAGAGATCAGCAAAGAAAGGAAATATTATCAGCTAAAGGTTTCAACCATTACAATTCTAGTGAAGGTCTGCAAAATGTACACAATCTAAATTCCTTTCCTCTGAAACAAAAGAAATCAGCTCTACGAAACTCTTTCTCTCCCAAGTTTGAAGAAAAAGATCTAGGATCCAAATTCAGTGGAATATAGCATACATTTTCTACAATCAAAATGGACTATTCAAGAAAATTAGCAGGTACAGATTATTTCATTTTAGAAATTAATGAACTGTCATTAAAAAAAAAGGTAAAACATAGAAGCTATAGGAATTGCCAAATGTTTGGAACTAAAAGGTGTGAATTGACAGAAAGGTCTCCCAGATCTTCTACAAACCTGTTAAAACATTGTATAGAAATTTTATACAGACCCATAAATATACCCATGAAATATTTTTCTATCAAACAATACTTCAAGTATCCAGAAAGCATGTAAATAAGCCTCACAGCTTCTGAAAGTCATCAGGGTCTTGTGAGGGTAACAAAGTTCCCTGATCTAATTTTTTATTCTATATTTTGCAGGAATATGGGAAGCTGGACAGAGATGATAAAAAAACAAATCATATTAGGTTGCAGTCTTTGAAAATGAAAACCCTTATGCGTAGAGCATCATTACAGCAACATTGTATTTATGAAGCAAACAACATGCCATTATAAAACCATAAAAGTTAATCTACTCAGTTCACTGCCTTAATGCCAATAGTAGGTACGTGCAACAGCCTAAACTGTTAGCTCACAACTCTTCAGCCAGGCAGAGATAATCTGGTAGAATTTATAATACCTAAATAAAGATAAACAGGTATTTGAAAGTCAGCAAAACAACTGGAAGTAACTTTAAAGTCATGAATTTGTTATTAGAGAGGAATAAAAGATGGAAAACAGCAAGTACATTTCTTTTGAGCTACAGTGAGTAAAAGTCCAGGGCTGAATGCTGGTGCTTTCAGACAGGACCTACAGCACCTCATCCTGAGAGAAACCTGGCTACATAAAAGTGGTTGGCTGAATTCCTGCAGTGCATGAGGCTGCCAGGGCACTTTTCATCATCCTAGACTACAACACAGCTACTGCTGAATTTAAAGTACCTAAAATGATAATCAAGATTTACATAAAAGTATTCCTCTCGCTATAACGTTAAAACATCAACAGGTTTCTCAGGCTGAGAACTGTTAATCTGCTTTGTATAAGCTGTCATGAAGTATTACAATAGTACCTGACATCAGCCGGCAAATTTCCTGCTGCTTCAATTAAACACAGCCTTATTTGACAGGGGCGCTGTTTCACAGATTGCACATTGGGCACATTAAGAGGTTTCCACATTTTTTAAAAGAAAACCTATTATTTAAAAGAGAACTTACGGTGCTGCAAGAACTGATGTCTGTCAAGCTTGTACTGCTTTTTATCCGCTACTGTAAGCTCCCAGTGATAACATTTTTCAACTCATGGGTTTCCTTGACAGCTTGCACTTGCCCCTGGCCACAGAACAGTTTTACTATGTGACACCAGCACATGGCTGCATTTCTCCAGTCTGATCCTCCTAGTTAGCACTTTTGCTTACACTATAAAAAGAACTGTCTCCACAGTCCAAACTGGTCAGTGATCTAATAGGTTATTTATAAATATGGCATCTTCACTGTCTCCTGCAGGGTACTTATAATGAAAGGCTCTTGACTTGCTATCATTGCACTGCAGATATTGCGCTCCTGCTCTCTGCTGGAGTTGGATGTTCTCAGACACAGCAGATGCATGGGTGTTGTGGTGTTTGTCCCATTTGTCACTCTTTCACCTGGTGCCCTGGGTTCAAGCACTGCAAATCTGCAGCAGGGATGTTACTTAGCTGCTCGTGATCCACTTCCCCACCTCCATCTCCCATTCTGTTTCCACAGTAGGCTGCTGTAAAGTCTTCCTGATAACAACTACAAGTCATTTATATATTACTGAGAAACAGGCTTGCAAAAGGTAGTTTACTTGCACCTGTACTACAGACAGGATCAGGCTTTAGTTCTGTGCACCACTCACCAGTGGGAACAAACTCCCCAGATCACGAGGGAAAAAGCTACAGCATTTGCTCATGAGATGTGTTACATGAGAAGGGTATTACCGACCCTCCCAATGGCCCTTTTCAGAAGTGTACTTCAGCGCTGAACCTAGATGCTATTCAGGTAGCCTCCAATTACTTTTCAACGTGAGCAAAGCAACTAGTCAGAACAAGAATTAAATATTCTTTAAAGATGTATTGTGCTACAAAATTGCAGTACTGTTGCAATGATATCACACTTTCCCTCAAGAGGTACACAAAGAAAATTAATCAATGGCACAGTGCAGAGGGCTGAACATGAATGTAAGGGGACTGATTAGACACAGTACATTTCTGCACCAATAACCTGAACAATTCTGTAACATTGCTGCAGAGGTTTGGTTTTGGTTAATAAATCCACAAATGGCCATTCAGGATTGCTGGCACCTGCAGCTGACATATTAGTCAAGGTTACTCTTGATGTAAATTCAACTCCTGAGCAGAGTTGGTTGGAACTAGATGATCTTAAGGTCCTTTCCAACCCTAACTATTCTATGATTCTATGATTATACAGCTCTGTTGAGCAGTGGTTTTCTGCAGCTATCTTTAATTAAACATTGAAGTTGTACTCATGTCAAGCTCATGATGAACAAAACATTTAGTATCTACAGTTGATGTAAGCAAAGTGTATACATGCACATGCCCCTCTACTCTTGTGAGACCTCACCTGGAGTATTGTGTGCAGTTCTGGTGTCTTCAACATAAAAAGGACATGGAACTGTTGGAACAAGTCCAGAGAGGGGCCATGAGGACGATCAGGGGGCTGAAGCACCTCCCAGATGAAGACAGGCTGAGAAAGTTGGGGCTGTTCAGCCTGGAGAAGAGAAGGCTGCATGGAGACCTCATAGCAGCCTTCCAGTGTCTGAAGGGGGCCTATAGGGATGCTGGGGAGGGACTCTTCATTAGGGACTGTAGGGACAGGACAAGGGGTAATGGGTTCAAACTTAAACAGGCGAAGTTTAGATTGGATATAAGGAAGAAGTTCTTTCCTGTTAGGGTGGTGAGGCACTGGAAAGGGTTGCCCAGGGAGGTTGTGAATGCTCCATCCCTGGCAGTATTCAAGGCCAGGTTGGACGAAGCCTTGGGTGAGATGGTTTAGTATGAGGTGTCCCTGCCCATGGCAGGGGGGTTGGAATTAGATGATCTTAAGGTCCTTTCCAACCCTAACTATTGTATGATTCTATGATTTATCCTAAATTGGTTGTTTTGTTTACATTTTACCTTCCAATATGGATTTAAATTTTGTGGATTTTTTTTCAGAAGTAGAAATCTCGAGAATATTTGGAAATTCAAATAGGAGGGTGATTTTCTGTATATGTAGCTCTGTGTGGAAAGCAACTTCCTTTTGCAAGCAATAGAGGTGCCATGCTTGACCTCGTGCTCACCAACAGGGAAGGGCTCGTTGGAAATGTGACGCTCCAGGGCAGCCTTGGTTGCAGTGATCACAAGATGCTCGAATTTGAGATCCTCAGGACAGTGAGAAGAGCGTGCAGCAAGCTCACTGCCCTGGACTTCAAAGGAGCAGACTCTGGCCTCTTCAGGAACCTGCTTAGTAAGGTTCCATGGGATACAGCCCTAGAGGGCAGGGGGGCCCCAAGACTGTTGGCTGATATTCAAGGATCACCTACTACAAGCTCAGGAGTGTTGCATCCCAACTAGAAGGAAGTGCAGCAGGAGGGCCAGGAGACCTCCTTGGATGGATAAGGAGCTGCTGAGGAAAATTCAGATGAAAAAAGAGGCTTATGAAAAGTGGAAGCAAGGACAGGCAGCCTGAGAAGAGTACAGGGATGTTGTCTGGGAAGGGAGGGACCAGGTCAGGAAAGCAAAGGCCCAGTAAGAATTAAACTTGGCTAGGGATGTTAAAGGTAACAGGAAGGGATTCTTTAGGTACATTACAAATAAAAGACAGACTAGGGACAATGTGGGCCCTCTCCGGAAGCTATCGGAAGAACTAACTACCTTGGATTTGGAGAAGGATGAGGTTCTTAATGACTTCTTTACTTCAGTCTTCACTGGCAAAGGCCCTGACCACACCACCGAAGCCTTGGAAGGCAGACACAGGGACTGTGAGAATGAAAATATTGGGCCCACTGTAGGAGAGGATCTGGTTCAAGACCATCTTAAGAACCTGAACGTACACAAGTCCATGGGAACTGATGAAATCCATCCGCAGGTCCTGAAGGAGCTGGTGAATGAAGTTGCTAAGCCACTCTCCATCATATTTGAGAAATCATGGCAGTTAGGTGAAGTTCCCAACGACTGGAAAAGGGGAAATATAACCCCCATTTTCAAGAAGGGGAAAATGGATGACCTGGGGAACTAGAGACCAGTCAGTCTCACCTCTGTGCTTGGCAAAATCTTGGAGCAGATTCTCCTGGAAGGCATGCTAAGGCACATGAAAAACAACAAGGTGCTTGGTGACAGCCAGCATGGCTTCACTAAGGGGAAATCCTGCCTGACCAATTTGGTGGCCTTCTATGATGGGGCTACAGAACTGATGGACAGGGGTACAGCGGTTCATGTCATTTACCTGGACTTCTGTAAAGTGTTTGACACTGTCCCACACCACATCCCTGTCTCTAAATTGGGGAGACATCAATTTAATGGATGGACAACTCGGTGGATAAAGAACTGGCTGGATGGCCGCACACAAAGAGTTGTGGTTATTGGCTCAATGTCCAGCTGGAGACCAGTAACGAGTGGTGTCCCTCAGGGATCGGTGTTGGGACCGGTCTTGTTCAACATCTTTGTTGCTGACATGGACAGTGGGATTGAGTGTGCCCTCAGCAAGTTTGCCGATGACACCAAGCTGTGTGGTTCAGTTGATACGCTGGAGGGAAGGAATGCCATCCAGAGGGACCTCGACACGCTTGTGAGGTGGGCTGATGCCAACCTCATGAAGTTTAACCCTGCCAAGTGCAAGGTCCTACACCTGGGTTGGAGCAATCCCAGGCACAGCTACAGGTTGGGCAGAGAAGAGACTCAGTGCAGCTCTGCAGAGAAGGACTTGGGGGTGTTGGTAGATGAGAAATTGAACATGAGCCGGCTTCAGTGTGCGCTTGCAGCCCAGAAAGCCAACCGTATCCTGGGCTGCATCAAAAGGAGCGTGACCAGCAGGTCAAAGGAGGTGATCCTGCCCCTCTACTCTGCTCTCATGAGACCTCACCTGGAGTATTGTGTGCAGTTCTGGTGTCTTCAACATAAAAAGGACATGGAACTGTTGGAACAAGTCCAGAGAAGGGCCACAAGGATGATCGGGGGACTGGAGCACCTCCCGTATGAAGACAGGCTGAGAAAGTTGGGGCTGTTCAGCCTGGAGAAGAGAAGGCTGCATGGAGACCTCATAGCAGCCTTCCAGTGTCTGAAGGGGGCCTATAGGGATGCTGGAGAGGGGCTCTTCATTAGGGACTGTAGTGATAGGACAAGGGGTAATGGGTTAAAACTTAAACAGGGGAAGTTTAGATTGGATATAAGGAAGAAGTTCTTTCCTGTTAGGGTGGTGAGGCACTGGAAAGGGTTGCCCAGGGAAGTTGTGAATGCTCCACCCCTGGCGGTGTTCAAGGCTAGGTTGGACGAAGACTTGGGTGAGATGGTTTAGTGTGAGGTGTCCCTGCCCATGGCAGGGGAGTTGGAACTAGATGATCTTAAGGTCCTTTCCAGCCCTAACTATTCAATGATTCTGTTCTATGACATAAGATTTCCAGGAGCACACTGTGGTTCCAAATAGCAGATAAGCTTATTCAGCATATGCTGGACACTTCATTTACTCTTTTCAGATTTACACTTCTGCTAAAATTCTAGTAAACAGGGATTTTTCCATTAGTATAGCCTACGATCTATTCTATGATCCTATGTTTCTAATTGACAGGTGAAGGAGGCATATAAAATATTATAAAATCCTTCCAAATATTTTAGAAAAATAATTTTCCAAATTTTTAAAAGCCTGAAAGAATAGGTCAGTGGACTGTTGTTTCAGAATGATTGTTGTGCTGTCTATTCTGCTATGGACTAGCACTTTCCTTGGAGAAGAGATCTTGGATGAAGGAATATAACTGGGTGAAACTAATACTGGAAAACTCGTTTTTAACAGGCCAGAACTTTATTTTCTTCACTAATAGCTCCTTAATAGCAAGGATCAGCTACTTGAAATTTCATAACAGTAAAGGCCAGATTAAATATAACACCTTTTTTAATACTAAATTTATTCCTGTTCATACCATCCTTTTGCAGAATAAATTAAAAACCCTCACAGATCTTACCAAAGTAATACTGTGAATTTATGAGTCAGTCTTGCTCTGTCATGGATATTTCATCCTTTAACTCTTAGAAGAAACACTATACCTACTAACTACTATCCGTTCAATTCTATTCAGATCATTGTATAAGAGCAAAAGGGGCTTTCAGCTGCTATTTCCCCTTGAATATTTGATTATTCCAGGTTCTTTCTTGCACAGAAAAACTCCACATCATAGTAACAAGAAACAGAGTAGACAAGCACTTCGACACCAATTTCTCAGCAGTGAGTATGTGCAAGAGGTGGTGACTAGAAAGAACTGTATTTCTAGTTCATTGCACAGGTAATACAGGTATTCCTCAAGTAAAGAAAGAGTTGTGTTTAAAGCTTTAAATGATTTTAGTCTCATTGGTCTTACCTTTCTTTTGATGTCAATGAATTGAGAAAACATTAAGGACCAGTAGAATGACAATTCAACTATGTAGTAATAATGAAGGTCAGGCATCAGTGGCTGAAAGATGGAGATGAGAAAAGGTTAATAGAATCTAACTCACATTACAGGCAGCTAAGGTCAATGTGGGCATGTTTAATCACAGGGGGATTACTGAATTATACATAAGCATCCTATGTAAGAAAAATTATGATGGTTGCCTCTTTCAAACTTTGATGCTCTGGAAAAATAAAGCTCCCCAGCCTACCCTCCTTTCATATTTTAATCTTGACAGTATTATAATACTCTAATACCAAAAATTACGACGTTGTCTGTTAGGAACTTAGAACAAACTAAATTCTGAGTACTCCTAAGTCTGTTTTGAAAGATCACTTGAAACATCTTGCTGTACATCAGTAATGTGGGTTTAAAGCTCAGCAAAAGAAATAATGCTAGAGCAGATTAAAGTAATGCTATGAGCATATAATCGCATCTGCTTATGATGAAAATGTCAAGCTTTAAACAGCGCTCTAATACAAAATCCTGCTTTTAAATAATGTAAACTTTTTTGTGTGAACATGTTAAGATTTGGACAGATGAAAATAAAATAAAATTATCCAGGCATCCTGTTTGATACACAACACGGTTACATGGATGTTTAAAAGTAAAACAAAAACAAGACACAGGAACTTGTGCACAAACAAAACCAACCTGAGGTAACTTTGAAGAAGGTAACTGGTGGCACATGTAAACTGTTTAGCCCCCAGCCTAAGAGAGACAGTCCTAGGACCTTCTCTAATTTCTGTGTGATTGTGCCTCCCTGCTAGTCATGCCTTCCATCACAGTGTGAGAGGGGCACTGGCACAAGAGAAGCTCCTGAGGGCATCTTCTTAAGGGATTAAATGAACCATCTCCAAAACATGGTACAACCATGCACCCAATCAGGGCACGAGCTATTTCTACTGGCAAGAAGCAGTTCAGTTTCCTCTCTTGTTCCCATTCTCCTTTGCAGACCAGTTCTTTTCAGCTGAAAAACAGCCTTTAGGTTCCTACTGAATGCTTTATGTGGGTTATTTAATCAGAGGCATATGCTTACACTTTATAAAAAATGTGTACACTTAAAATCAATCTTTTAAAGCCATTTCTTGAGCCAATATAATAATTTTTCTGATTTAGTGAGGCTGACAATAAGGTTTTAACTACGTGTAGTTAAAAAAGGGAAGAGAGCTAGCAATGAACAACTATTATAGCAAGAGAACTCACTGCGGAACATTTCTAGTAAAACAGTGAAGATTGTCAGCTTCTTTATTAACAGTATCATTAGTATTTCTAAACCCATACATAACTATAATGTAGGGGGATTCTAAAGATATAATGGTTTCCCTCCATGAAAAGGTCAAGGGTGAAAGTATTAAGTTTCACCCTGTATGCAGTATAACAGCTACAAGAACTATACTGGTTTTTCCCAACCCACTGAACCTGAGGCTTTACTAAAACTTCCAGTATTCTCAGAACTTTTTTTAAAAAATGACCATTCTACCACTGTTACAGATTTCTGCTTTCATGGTTAGATTTCTCAGACCTGTTTTCAGATCCCATGTTTTATTTCAAAACAGGTGTGACAGCTAGATTCGCCTTTGCTGTCTTGAACTCAAGCAAGATGAAGAGTATCTAGCAATGTTCTGAAATTACAAGTAACACACTGACACTAACATATTGACACAAAGCCCCCTCATCATAAAAGCAGAGCTCTGCAGAGATGCCGTATTTGGTTTTAGATAGCACTGTAACTTTTACCTGATATGGATACCCGTTCCAGCACTGTCTGGTATTCCAGAGCCAGGGTGTCTGAGAAAGAGAAGTAAGAAAAAACGGGTCAGTGCACACCATTTTGGTCAATGTAAGTGTATACAGTTAACACAAGTGAAGGACAAAACTATAGAAACAGCTTAAAATCTGCATTTTTTGATAGAGGCTATGAAAACTGAATACAACAAGGAGATAGCTCAAAGTTTCACAGCACGAAATAGAGCAACTTCCCTGTTCACAGAGATTTTTAGTTGGTGGCCCATGACCTTACTTTTGCAGGAGTGCAGGCTGAACCTAATCAGCTTGTGCTCAGGTGGTCAGATCTCACATTTCCTTCCTAATAGCACAGGAAATTTTTGCCTTAGGCTGCTCAGACATTCTAAAGAATGTTCCTTGCATGTGCTGTTACATATAAGCATCCTACCGTATAGGATCCATCCTTCATCCCAGCCACATGAGTTTAAAATAGCAAATCATGCCTTTTGCTTTCCTGGCTGAAGACATGACCATCCAGAGATGATAGATCTTGCTATCACACAGAAAAGACTCTGATACCTTAGGGCAACATGGAAAGTTCCAGAGAGAAATTTACTTTAGTGCATCTACAGATTCTTGCACTGCAGAAAGCTGGGCAAACTAAAAGACTTGGGAACACGCAGCTCTGTTATGCTTCCTGTTTCTTTGCTGCTTGCATAAGATTTATTTGATTAAAAAAGAGCCTTTTAAATCTTTCTTTGTAAGCAGGCTGTTTCTTTCAGAGTTCTTTATTTTTTACCTCTTCCTCTGTGCAACTAAAAGGACTCGAGACAGAAATTACCATATGGACAAGCTCTTCTACCCAACATACCCAACCATTAAGTATTTCCATATTGGGTAATAGGAACATGATCAAACCACCAGCTACCAAGGAGCCACACTTCCCTTTTTGTGCATGAGCAGAAACAACTCCTTTCAGATATGCACGTCTTGCAATGCACAGCTGCATCTCGGGTTCTGACAGCATCTGTACTCTTTGAGAAGCATGTGTCTACAGTACAAGTACCCACCCACAGGGTATCTTGTTAGAAATATGAAAGAAAATTGTGGATTCCAGATCTTTGTGCAACTTTTTTACATAATATTAACTGCTCTACATCCAGTATAAAGAGGACAGAAAATCATTAGTATGCCTCCTGGATAAAGGCACACATACCCTTACAGCATTATACACTTCCATTAGACTACATTTTTTCAGGTAAATCCTCATCGCATGAGATACGGCCTTTTCTTGTTTTCACCATCAGGTGGAGCAGTTCAGCTCAGGCAAAACATAATGACAAACTTATGCAAAATACAATGGGTGAGCAAACCAAATAAAATAAACACTAGGCAAAACGTTAAGCCCCAGGCTGAGAATCAGGCTAGGTAGGGAGAATTTGTACCATATCAAAAGCCAGGATAAATCTAATCAAAACTATAGCCCAATTCCCAACTGATACTTTAATACTATTTGTGATGTGTCTTACAGAAGCTTGTTACAGCCTTTGTTGGTTAACAGTGATGCGATATGATCACTAAAGGCTCTTCCTATTTCTTTTTTTCAATTTTACTTCACATGGAAAATATGATAAAAAACAACTTGCACACCCAATGCTCCTGAAATGTCAAGAAATAATTCTTAGAATAACCTGAGTAGCATACCAGCATTAAAGTGACAGACCTCCTACGCCTCTCACAGGGATGTTGTAACAATGGTTAAAGTCCATCCAAACTTCTCCTCCTCTCAATTAGGAATAATTATTTCATGCAGACAATTTTTTTTTCCAAGTATCTCCACAGTAGTTACCATGCTAAGTGAGTTCCCCTCATTTCATGCGACAAAAAGGGTCTTTGGAAAGAGCGACAGCTCCTCTGCAAGTGTTACTAATATACAGAAGCTAAAATATTTCTGTCTGACAGCTGCCTACATTAGATCTATCCAAATATTATAGGATAATTCATAGTTTTAGCCAGGTTTGAAAAGCTGTAACTGTCTTTCATATCAGATTCAAAAAGAGGTAAGAGATGCTTCCTACCCAATTATTTTGGTACCTAAATTACAGGTGCTAGCAAAAAATGCGTATTTTTCTCTTTCAAATATTATGACATCTTAAGGCTTCTTCAGAGAGATGCCTGCTGCAGGAGCTGCAGATACAGAGGTTTATGTGCAATTAAAATGCTGAATGCTAAATAAAATAGGCCTCACTGGAGGAACCCATAACCACAGAGCCTGGAAGGATACCACAAACTGATAAACAATACAATACATGCAATTAGGCCTTAAAGACAGAGAGAACATCTGCCTCTTCTGAGCCGCATAAGGCTTGGAAAGCCATGCTGCCTTCTCACACAAAATGCTTCTGGGTAGCTGTTTGGAAATTTAATGGATCCTATGTGGGCAGCAGTGGTTAAGACAGCAGGACATCTATACCACCTTCTTACACCTCTCTCCTCCCCAGTTTCCCTCTCCTTGACTTGCTTTAGCATCTCTTGAGTAGACTAACAGCTGTAGCAGAAGGGGACTTTGGTTATGTTTGCCCTGCAGGGTTTTAAGAAAGAGGCATAGCTTGGTTTAAATACAGCTTTCCCCTCTGACCTCTACAATGAACACAGTCCTAGACCGAAACTAAGTTCTCCGGGTAGACCACGGCTGTAGTTGGACCAAGAAGCATTGCTTAGTCCTCTGCGAACCTCGCAACTGTGGGAGGTTCTGTGCAGGTTTCAGCAGGAAGGAGAGAATTCTAAAAAAGCCCACAGTCTGCAGAGGGAAACTGAAACACACCGAAGAGAGGTGGATTAATCAGAAAGCACGTAATACTGACATTCTCAGGGCTCAGCTGAGCCTGTGTGTGCCCACAGGGCACACTGACGAACTTCCTTACATCAGGCATGCTCACTGTGAAGCAGAGCCCAGCTCTTCCTGACAAGTCCTATGATGGACAGAAAGGTCAGTGACTTGGCTTTGCAACAGATCCATTTCTGATGAACATAAAGTGTGCTGTTTCCACTGCCTGTTGAATACCCAAATTTCCACTCCTTGTTCTTGGTACATAATCTCTTGAGGAAGGGAGGAATCTGAGAGGACTGGAGAAGGGAGGAAATGCAAAAGTCCTGATAACAAAAGGCATCCTTAAGCTGGAAACAGAATACTAAAAACTTCAGTTCCAATTACGTCAGGCACAAAACACCAGCCCTACAATGCTAACACCCTCCCTTACAGAACATAAAGTACTTAAGATGGAAACTTAAGCTTTACCGCACTTTGGTGCAGTGCCTAATATGTGCAGTATCAATGACAGAGGAGGATGATAAACAGCTGTTGAATCTGCTGTCATTTACATTTATTAAGGAACAAATCTCTATTATTTTTGGTTCCTTACAGGAATATCTGTCAAAAGTTCCATCAAACCTCCCTCCAACTCTGTGATTAAAGGAAGTAATTTTAAAGAACTCCTTCGGAAATAAAACTTCTCTTGAGACAAGGGAATGACTGAGGATTTGGAAAAACAAAAAAGCAAATTATCTGAGATGTCTGCACACTTAGCCAGAAGCCTCGGGTTGTTTTGCATCCGCTGTCCCATTCATTTATCTTTAGAGAAAGCTTCTGATTGGGCTCTGGCTTTCAGAAGCCCCAAAGCAATGAAAATCTGCTTGTCTTACTCGAAATGCTGCTAATACCAAGCATGTGAAAGGTCAGTTTTGATACTAAATGGGGTGTGTGTGTGTGTGTAAAAAAAGTAGTACAATAAAAACCTCCCACTTCTGATCAGTTCCCTTACAGCCCATTTGGCTGAAAGGCGTTTTTATGTGTCCTTTATCCCTTTATCCGTGAGGAAATAGATGCACCTGGTGAAGTATTATTATTTAAAAATAAGAAATGTTTGGTTCATCATACCGCAATAAAAATAACAATGAATATTCCTCCTCATCCTTATCTACCCAGCAGAACCCACTAAGTATAGGAAACACACAAAGGCCACAGTATAGATTCTCAGAGACGAGCAAGAGCTGTACATGTCATGAGCAAGTACTTTCCCATACTGTCAGCAAGCCAACCATCAGATGTGTGTATCAGGCATATCATGGATTTAAAGTGAATTCCACACCCATTTCATAGAATCAGCTTATGTCTGTAAATATAAATATATTACATATAGGTAACATAAATTTGCAAAGTAACTGCTTTTGGGCAGCTGGAGTGAGTTCCACAGTCTGCGTCACTTCTCGTTGCTGTATCAATAACTGAATCATTTTTCCCTGCATCCAGCACAACTAGAAATCCCAATATGCAGGTTACAACCACAAGCACTGGTGTTACTTTGCCCTTAGAAGCGTGAACCTACAGATAAATAAGAGGTGCGAAAAAAAACCTAATAAATACAGTGTTGCTAGCACTAATTTTTTCTTTCTGTAGTCCATAAACTTGAAACAAGTAGCAAATTGAAGGACCACTTCCAAAAATACAACACTAAGCAAAACCCAGGTCTCCACAGAGGAGCTTCTGCCCTAGCAGTTTGGAGTATTAGAGAGAGCTGCTATGCATCTGATTTACTCCTGACCACACAGGCATGTTGTAACTCCCAAAGGGGTTCTTCCTAAATTCTCACATAAGTAACAAAAATCTTCTGACTTACCCAGCAGATAAAGAAATACAATCTGCCTGCTATTTTTATCAAAATACAGCATGCAGAAATCCAGGGACATCACGACAGAACCCCCACATTGCACAAAAGTATATTTATGCTTAAGTCCACATTTCAAACCAAAATGAGACAGCATCAGTCCAAAACCAGGTTTTAAGTTGTTTTTGAAAATAGGTTTTTGACCCTGTGAAACAAAACCAGCACAATACAGAAATCCTGAGCGTTCACTGTGTATGTGCCCGCTACTCTGCAATCTCAAAAGGCAGATATTATCTCGCTTGGTTAATACATTTGGATACAGCTTTACATAATTTGTCCCTCATAGCTACAGCAATAATAAGTGGAACTGAAATTACCACTATTAATTAAAGTCAAGAT